ATTTCTAAGTCAGACTGCCAAGCAAGATTTAATTAATGTTCAAAGTTGGACACTTAATCTTTCACATTTTTCCCTAGCCCACTCTTGCCATTTCTCCATATAGACACTTAACATGGAAGAAGTTAAAAAGCAACTTACACAATTTATAAGTTTTACAATGTTCCAGCAAAATTTAAAGAACTATTTATAATTTTAGGACTAGGACATAATCAAACTATACTTAAAAATTTCAGATGTTCAATTAGCCTTTTATGTGTGTTCCAAGGTTAGATCATGCTATTTAGTTCAACTATTTTTAAGAAAACATCTTGATAAAAGACATAAAATCCAGTTTATGCCTTATCATAGTGATGTTTTATATATATCTTTAACCTAGGAAAAGAGCTAAACTTAGTTTAGTCAGTGATATTCTATTGCTCTACTAAATGTTTGTATCCCACCTCGATTTACTTTTTGAAAGACGGCATTCATCGTAGCTATGTGGAACATGGAAATAGGAACAAAAGTGCATTTATGTCAGTAAAATAACAAAAGGAGGCTAGATAATAAACAAATAATGTGTTATTAAAATGGAAAGAGGGCCATGTCTTTTGGCAGACTAGGATCATTGGAAATTGCCTTGTTTTAATAATCACATTTTAGTTTATTAATGAACTACACATTAGTATAATTCTAAGTTTTTCCCAGAAAGTGCCTGCCTAGTTTCAAATTATCATAATGTAAGTTGCCTGAGAGTTAGAGAAATGCTTTGGTGGGTTTGTCTTGCAAGCCCACATTTCAGTTTTGCATCTGGGGGTAACATGTTWTTTTCATAGTAACAATGTTACTGGCAGATTTAAATTCCCAGCTCACTCAAGCTACATATTGAATCTTTTATGAAATCAGCTCTACAAAGTGACTCTTTATTAATGACATCTGCTTTTTAAGGTCAACAATGAGGATCAAYACAGTTACCACTAGTCTCTAAACCTTTCACTTCCAGTTTTGCTTTCTGAAATGTCCATCTCTTAAAGCAGTCTTAATTATCTTGTTTTCAACTGAAAGTTGCTCCATAGTTTTGAAATTATTTCTGGTTTACAAACATAATTTGTGACTTAGAGGACAAATTCTAAATTACTAAAATGATGTGTAATTAAGAAATTATAGGAAGTTTTAAATTATTCTACCACTTTCCCCCATTTATTGTGAATCTTATTTGGCAGCTTTATCTTTTGATATTTCATTAGATAACAAGTTTTCCCCAACCATGATCATTTACAACTGAGGTAAAAAGTAAGTTTTAATTTGCTAAAACTTTTGCTAATATAATTAGCCAATTATTACAACAGAATGACAATTTGAAAGTTTTTTCAGGGTAGGAACTCTTTAATTTTTTAAAATTGTGAATATTTAAAGTATACAACATGATATTATAATATGAATGCATAGTAAAATGGTTTCTATAGTGGAACAAAATAACATACCCATCATTTCACATAGCTACCCATTCCATCCCCATCCTGTGGCAAGAGCAGCTATAATCTACTCATTTAGCTAATTATAGTCCTCATGTTGTACATTAGATCTTTCAACTTGTTACTCCTACATAAGTGCTACTTTATATCCTTTAAGCTGTCTCTCCCCATTTCTTCCCTGTACCCCAAACCTGGTAGCCACTGTTTTATTCTCTATTTCTTTACTTATTGACCCTTTTTTCCTCTCTTCATCCTCCTCCTCTTCCTCCTTATTCTTCTTGACTCCACACATAAGTGAGATCATGCAATATTTTTCTTCCTGTGATTGGCTTATTTCACTTAGCATATTTCACTTATGGCAAATGGCAGGACTGGTGCTGGGGATATAGCCCATGTTCTCACACATGCTAAGCAAATGTTTTACCACTAAGCAACACTCCTAGCTCTCTCCCCGTTTTTAAAGCCTGGATGATACTCATGTGTATATTTTACATATCTCACAGTTTCTTTCTTTCTTTGTTTGTTGATGAATACCTAGGTTATTTCCACATCTTGGTTATTGCGTATAATGTTTGCATTTGTGCCAGTAACATACTGGTTTTTTTGGAACTGGGGGTTGAAYTTAGGAGCACTCAACCTCTGAGCCACATCCCCTGCCCAATTTTGTATTTTATTTAGAGACAAGATCTCACTGAGTTGCTTAGTGCCTCTCCATTGCTGAGGTTGGCTTTGAACTAGCAATCCTCCTGTCTCAGCCTCCAGAGCCGCTGGGATTACAGGATTACACTGCTGTTTTTTGGTTTTTTTTTTTTCCAAATATATTTTTAGCTGTAGATGGACATAATACCTTTATTTTATTTATTTATTTTTATGGTGCTAAGGATCAAACCCAGTGCCTCACATGTGCTAGATGAGTAGTCCACTACTGATTCACAACCCCAGCCCAACATACTGCTTTGATTAAAATAGTTTTGTAATATAATTTTAAACCAGGAAGTGCGATACTCCTAACTTTTTTTTTAATTGAAAAATGTCATTGGGATTTCTTTGTTAAGAGTGAAAGGACATGGGCTGGGGATGTGGCTCAAGCAGTAGCGCGCTCGCCTGGCATGCGTGCGGTTCGGTCCTCAGCACCACATACAAACAAAGATGTTATGTCCGCAGAAAACTAAAAAATAAATATTAAAAATTCTCTCTCTCAAAAAAAAAAAAGAGTGAAAGGACAAGGATTATTCAATTGAGAAGAAAAGAGAGAACTTTCACAGGGAGAGTTGGATCCAATAGCAAAGTTGCTGCTTAAATGTCTAGATTATTGCTGTCAGGCTAACAGTATTTGATCAAAATCTATGCTAAACAGGTCCTGGAAAAGTACCCACACTATTGATGAAAATACAGTTGGGATTTTGATTGCATTGAAGCTATGTATCACTTTAGGTAGTATGGAGATTTTAACAATTCTTCTGATCCATAAGCATCGAAAATCTTATTTGTGTCCTTTTCAATTTATTTAGGAAATCTATCTTGTATGTTTCTCTATTCCTTTTAATACTGAGTACATTTCCTATGGTACAATCTTAATATATTTGGGTATTTATGTTAGGGACTATAATATAATGCTAGATTTTACTGGTAATCATACTTGGTTAGATGAAAAATTCACTTTTGGGGGTAGGTGAGTTTTTTTCTCCATATGGCAGAATTAATTTTTTATTATTTATTTATTTATTTATTTTAAATTTTGAGACAGGGAAGTTGCTGAGGCTGGCTTTGAACTTGTAATCCTCCTGTCTCAGACTCCTGAGTCTCTGGAATTACAGGTGTAGGCCACTGCAAGATCAGCTGTTTTTTAATCACAAAAACTTTCATTGTGACCTGGTACCTATACTTATGGGTTATTGTGGTGGGCTTTTTATATGTAAGATTATCTTCTTCTCTGGAAGTGTCCAGTCCAATTCCAAATTTTCACTCCAACAATGTAGATCTGGTCATAACATGTTCCTGTAGAAAATATTCCCTTCATTTTATATAAAGGTCTTCACTTCCTTCAGGTACTTTGGGATTTGGAGCTTCTAAACAGACAATCTTCCTTTATCAAGTAACATAAAATAAACTTCTTGAGATTCTTCCTTATAGAAATTTCATAAAATAAATAATAGAGGGCTGGGGATGTAGCATAGTGATAGAGCACTTGCCTAGCAAATATGAAGCTCTGGATTCAGTTCTCAATAATTCAAAGAGCAAAGGGACACAAAATGCTAGTAGGACAAAATGTTACATTGTTCAAAACACATGGAACAGACTGTAGAAAGAGATGGAATAGTGGTAAACAATTAAAGCAACTGTATCAGAAAAGCTCATATTGGGAGTACTAGTAATGTAACAGTACTTATTAACAATTTCCACTTGCCACTCCCCCTTCATTTAACTTGTATAGTAATGCAAGCATGATTAGTGTGATTGGAGAAATGGGAAGCCTCATGTGAGGTTCAACAATGGAAATGTAAAAGTGTGTGGAGAGTTCAGTGAGAAAGTGAAATTAAATCTTATAGTTGTTGGACTTTTATTTTTTTCTTTTAATAAAGACCRTGGATTATTAAACCAAAAATATCCACAAGTAGTTAAGTTTATGAGGAAGCATCAACCATCTACCTGTAAGTGCTTAGAAGGTAAGGATGTATTTCTTTTTTGACTTTGTATTATTAAAAAGCAGGACTGTATTTGGCATATTATGAATGCCCAGTAACTGTTTGAGTCATTCAACATGTGGCCTAATATGGTCATATAATGACACAAGGCAGTTTTAGAGACATAATTCTGGTTCAAGGTAGCGCTATTACTTCTTAGATAGGGCTGAGAATCCAACAGAGAATTATTTTTTGTTTATGCAGAGGCAAGGGCCAGGATTGTGGCAGCCCTGTGAAAGATAAATGGAGTTTTTCTCATATATATTGGTACCCAACCTCATTACACAGGGATTTGGCTGTTTAAGAAAGTGGAGTCTATTCATAAACCTTTATTATAGTACAGAAGAACAATATTCTCAAGTTATGTTTACTTAGGTTTTCCCCAGTGAGTGGTTCTTAATCTTTTTTGTCAATATTTGCCATTAGTTGTTGTTAATTCGTTATAATTATTATTTTCTTAATATTTATTTTTTAGTTGTATTTGGACACAATACCTTTATTTTATTTATTTTTATGTGGTGCTGAGAATCAAACCCAGGGCCTCGCACTTGCTAGGCGAGCGCCCTACCGCTGAGCCACAACCCCAGCACTATTTCGTTATTATTAATGGATGTGTTCGTTGACGCTTCGGAAACCGTGCTCAATACCGGCCTTGCCAAGGGTTCCTTTAAGCCTCAGGAAAAATGACTTCGGCTGAAGCCTGTACCCAAAGCCACACCCACTAAGAGTCCTTAAGAAACTTGGTGTGGCTTGGCGGAGACTCAGCTGGGGCGGCCACGCGGTGCATTGGAATCCCGTGGCTCGAATTCCACCTTTTTCCGTGGGAGGCGCGTCCCTCCCTTCAGTGGGTCAACTCCGCGGGCCCACAGGCCCCGGGCCAGCTCCCTTTCCAGCGGAAGCTCCCGGCCTTCAGTCTAAACGTCGCGTACCGAGCTCATTTGCATAAGGACGCGCGCGACGCCGGCAAGAGGGAGGGCGGGCGCGGCCGGGGAAGCGGCGCGCGCGCGCACCCTGACAGCTCGGCCCTGCTCGCTCACTGGCTCGTTCCCGGCTTCCGAGCACAGCATGGCGGTCAAGGTGACTCCAACTCTCTGCTGCTGCCTTTATTGCATAAGAGACATTCCAAGGGCCCTGCCTGCAGCCCCCCAGCTCTCTCAATTTCCTTCTTTGCGTAGTTATTAGATAGCGCGTCCTAGGGCTCCAGCTTGCGGGTGGGAGAGCTGATGGGCAAGGATCCGGAGGAAGAGGATGCCCGGCTGGGGGAGGGGAAAGAGGAGGGATTGTGAGTTGGAGGGGTTGTGAGGACCACTGGTCAACGAAGGAAGAGTAGTGTGTCCTGCCCTAGGTACATGGGATTGTGAGCTCGGAGTTGAAGAGCATCGGAAAGGGAGTGGGAGGAAGTGGCAAGTAAAGCCGGGGATACCTAGGGCATCCGTGTATTGCGGTGGGGGAGGGGGTAAGTACTGAGTAATTTGGGGCCTCAATACTGCGGAGAGCAATGGTTGACATTTGCGTTGGAGGTTGCAGGATGTTGAAAGCATTTGTACTGGTGGCAGCTCTCGTGTTTTAGGTTAGATGGGGAACTAGAGGGGCGCTGAGATCTTTGTTATTATTTCTTTCCAATGGGAAGAAAGGCTGCTAATCCATGCCATTAATTTAGGTGTTTTGACTATCCTGTTGCTCCACTCTTGCAGGCCTCTTGATTTCAAGGTTGGTGGTTGCTACTGTGTTGTGGAGTAAAATAAAGAGTGATATTCATTTTCTTCCCTTTTCAGTTCAGAGGAAGCACTGTGTGTAATTTGCTATATCCCAGGCTATTCACACCCGCCTTTCCACCCTGTAGTGACAGATCTCAAATTTGACAGTTGTTATCAGCAGTTAGGGCTTTTGGGTTGTTTTAGACTAAATGCCCTTATAAAAGATAAGAGCATTGATTGTTAGCAGTTGTGAACTCTAATCTGGAGATTGTGTGACCTTTAGTGAAGCATTAACTAGCTTTTTTTTTTTTTTTTTTCCTTACAGGTGCAGACAACTAAGCGAGGTGATCCTCATGAGTTAAGAAACATATTCCTACAGGTAAATTATGTAATTCATGTTTCATTGAAAAAACAAAAAGGTGTAATCAGTAGTTCATTTGAAGCCTTAACGCTGAGGAATAGTCTATTTTCATGTATTCTTACATTGCTAGACAATATAATTTATTTTTCTCTTGTTGATGTTTGACTGAGGGTTTTCCTTTATATTAAGGGTTGTTAAGATATTTTCCTCAGGCCTTAAACCGAGCATCTGTAATCCTAGTTACTTGGGAGGCTGAGACAGTAGAATTACTTGGATGACATAGGGAGACCTTGTCTTTAAAAAAGAAAAAAAAATTCCTTAAATTAATGTTTTTTTTTTTTTTAATATGACTTAAGCGGTGTAAAAGTAGACWAAAAAGAACTTCCAGCTTCTCCTAAGTACTGAGGCTAATAAAAAAATTCAAAATGTATAGACATTCTTATATAATTGATAGGTATAGTGACTAATTCTTCTTTGAAAGCTGCATGTTTTATAAAGTTTTTCTACTTAAAAACAATCCTCCATGTAGATTACAGATATAAGGCTACTGTAGGTATTCTTAATTTGTGTGTTTTCCCCCTCTACTTATTTATATTATATCATAGGCCTTTGGGGGTTTTATTCCAAAATGTTGTCTTGCCAGGTGCAGTGGTACATGCCTGTAATCCCAGTGACTGGGAGGCTGAGGTAGGAGGATTACAAATTCAAAGCCAGCTCAGCAACTTAGTGAGACCCTTTCTCAAAAAATAAAAAAGGGCTGGGGAGGAGCTGGAGCTGGGGCTCATCTGTAGCACTCTTGCCTGGCATGTGTGAGGCACTGGGTTTGATTTTCAGCACTGCATATAAATAAATAAAAATAATAAAGGTCTATCAACAACTAAAAAAAAAATAAAAAAGTTCTGGGGATGTGGTTCAGTGGAAAATCACCTCTGGATTCAATCTCTGGTACCCAAAAACAAAACAAAAAGTTGCTGCCTAAAATTCTTGCAAGGATCCACCTTAACTTCTGATAAGCTTTTAGGATCAGAGACTTGCCTGTAGAATTAAAAGGAAAAAAAAAAAAAGGGGGTAGGCTTAGTTTTTTGTTTTGCTTTCTTAATTTCAAAAATTTCCTATGTAGGAAATTAAGCTTAAGAAGTAAATGTAAAGGGAAAGAAGCTAGTGTGTGTGTGTTTTTTTTTTAATATTGTATTTTTTTCTGAAATCTTCTTTTGAGAATTTCTATTCTGGATCTGGGTTCTTGTGTAGACACTTTAACCTTGGACAGATTCCTGCTGGGTATTATTTTCCTCTGTAAAATGAAAGGTGACCTCCAAGGTTCCTTCCAATTCTAAAAGTCTGTGATTCTATATTAGGAACAGATTCTAACATACTGTGATGTGCCTGGAATAGATGACATTTTTATCTGAGACATGTGGTTTACTTAAACTATTGTTGGGAAAGAGGCTGCATAGATGACCATCCATATGTATAGTTCATGAAGAAGAATTAGTAAAGGCTGGGGATGTAGCTCAGTGATAGAATATAATATACTTGCCTAGCATGTGCCCTGGGTTTGATCACCACACTGAAAAACAATTAGGAAAAATGAGAATATTAAATTTTATAAAATATACTAAGGGAAGTATCTTTTCTAGAACAAAAATAATTGTGATAGAATTGCTCCATTTGTGGCCTGAAATTTTTATTTTTCACAAGTATTCTTGAGAATACCCAAAATTATATCAGTATTAACATAGCATATAATTATACTCGATGTTTTATGAGGAATTCCTATGATACGGTTAATTTTATTTTCTATATTAGAATAGCGTGGAGGAAATCAGTTAGAATGTTGCAGGATGTACTGAAAAGTGCATTGGTCCAGGTAATTCCCAGGTCCACATCTACCTGGCTGTTGTTGTATGCTTAGAATAATTATCTAAGCTTTTTGAGTTTTATCTTCTCGTGAGATTTAGTGGGCCATAATGGAATTGGAATTGAGGTTCTTCCAGCTTTAAAAATTGTATAGGGGAAAAAAATCTGTGATTCTATATTGATTGTTTTTGTTTTTGAAGAGTGGTGTTGGTGGTGGTTGTGATGATGGGAGGGCTTGAAGCTACAAAGAGAGAGGCCAGGACTCAGCCTACCTCTTTGACAACTTTTAAATCTTTTTCATTTAATGTTTTGCATATACTGTCACTATCTCTTTACATATTATTTTGCAATACTGGGGATCAAATCTAGGGCCTCAGGCATGCTACGCAAGCACCCTGCCAGTGAGCCTTACCAGTCCCTTACAAATTATTTTGATGTTGACTCTAATTTTATTTTCATACTGATAATTTGTAGAATTTATAATTGCATATGTAGCCCTAAGCATAAAGCATTGTCTCAAGCATTATTAATAAATAAGAACATGAAGACATTTATCTTCAGGAAAGCTAAAACTGCTAGGAAGATAAAATATAGCTAGTTGGATCAATAGGAGGACAGTTCCAAGTATTATATTAGGCAACTTTCAAGTATTTTTCCAAAAAAATTATTTATTACACATGCATATATGTTCTATTAATATTTTAGATTTAATAGAAGACAAAAATACATGCTAACTATGTATTTCTTTAGCACTTAAAATATTTACCCAGCAGATTGAGGACTATTTTCTGTGTGCTGGGCACTTGTATTCTATTATTCATTAATAAATACTAAATAGATTAATTGAAGCAGAGAATTGAGCTAGGTCATGAATGATGATGGGCATGTGGTTGGACTAGCCTCTCTCTGAGGCCTATTTCATCTCTGTTTAGGGTTGAAGCTATTGAGAATAGTGAAGGCAAATGCAAAGCCTGTGGTAGAGCAATCAGACTGGCTTGCCTAGAACAGAGTAGCCATACAATGATGACAGTGGTTAAGAGATACTGATTATTTAGAGTGTGCTGTACATTGACCCAGTACTCTAAGGATGGTATGTTAATTTTCATAACTTCTGAGGTTTAGTATTCTTGTTATGTAGATGAAGTTAAATGACTTTGTTAATGTCCCTTAATTTGTAAGTGGTAGAGACCAGAGTTCAAATCAAACTACAGAACCTATAATCTTAACCCTTATACTATACTTGTATATAAGATTTTGAAATGTGATGATTTTTGAAAGATAGGCATGTCAGGGACTAATGGCAACTTTGTTAAGAAGTTAAAAAAAAAAAAACCTGGTTACTTAGGTGATGAAATAAAAAAGTGCCTTTATGCTATAACTACCTAGAACAGTTGGCAAGGAGTTTGGATTTGAAACAGTAGGGAGGCACTGTGGGTTTCTGAGTGGGCAAATTGAAGTGGTGAATTCTGGCAGCTCTTTGTGTATGTTGGATAAAGTGTAGAGAGATTGGAAGTAAGTGAGGCGATCAGCTAAGAGGCTATTGAAATAATACATGTGGGAGATAATGACCTAGAGTGGCTGATGACTGGGTAATGGAAAGGAAGGACAATACCAGGGACTTTGTAAGGGAAGAATCTATTGATTTGGTATTATATATGGAAGTAAAGAAGAAATAGTGTACCTGGCATTTTATAAGATAGGTGTTAGTTTATTAGGCATTTATTTGGGGATTTTTTTTTTTTTTTTGTCAGATAGGGTTAAATTTGATTGCTAAATAAATGTGACCCATTAAGTTAAAGTCAGGTTTGAACAGATACAAATTTATACAGGTGATAGATGAATCCTTGTAGTTATGAGAGTTAAATGCGAAATAAGCAGGACAGGATCAAAAGCTGATTTATACACAATGTTCATAATTGAAGTAGGAAGGAGGTGGAGGAGAACTAGGGATAATAGTCCCATGAAAATTTAAGGTTGGAGTTTCACAAAAAATGTTAAATCAAAGCTTAACATATAAATCGTTATCAGTATGGTTTGGTTTTGGTAAGATTTGGGGATTATTTGAGTTTAGGGCCATTTCAACTAAAGGCTACAGAGTACACCTACAAAAATGCGAAGTTATACGCCATGTATGTATGATATGTCAAAATACATTATACTGTCATGTATAATTAAAAAAAAAGACTACAGAGAAGATTTAATTTTAAATTTTAGAATACAGTTGAAAGCTTTGTAAAATTTAGATCTGTGATAATAACTGTCTAACTTTACACTAGTATGGCTCAAAACTCTTTTGTTGTGTAAAACAATTAAATGTTCCTTTTTGAAAGTACGGATGTATTCATGTTTAGTGGAATTATATATAGGTTTGTGAGGAGGGCTTTGTAAGAGTAAAACATTTTTATAGAGAAATGAGAAATAGTTCATTTTTTTTTCTGTGTTCTTTATTGCTTCTCAAAATTTGATGAGGTATGTTTTCTTTCTTTTTTTTTTTTGTGGTGCTGGGGATCAAACCCAGCATCTTGAGCATGCTAGGCAAGCACACTGCCACTGAACAACACCCACAGCCCACAGGCCTTTTTCAAATTTTATTTAGAGACAGAAACTTGCTAAGTTGCCCAGACTGGCCTTGAACTTGCAATCCTCCCGTCTTAGACACTGTAGTAACTGGGATTATGGACATGGGCCACTGTGCCCAGCCAATAAACTGTATTTTCTGTTAAAAAAAAAATTTACTAGGATTCTGCTTTTTCCCAGTGTACCCCCAACCCCCAAGTTCATGCAACTGGAGTACAAAAAATGAATTCTTATGTGTTCTACTGTGCTATAATTTTACAACCAGTTGTCAAACTAACATTTTACTATTACCACCCTTAAAACTGTCATTTTTTGATTTATCTCTTTCTTCTTTTACCTTTCTCACCCACACACTATCATTGACCTAGTTTTGCTACATCAGAAGTATACAGTAGCAAAAGGATACAATAAAAGCAGTGAAGATGCAGGGAAGGTAGGGACAACAGAAATGTGACAGGCTGTTTGTTATAAGCCTGACAAATTTCAGAATGAACGGTTGATCTTGTCTGTGCTTTCTGGCAAAGTAGGTTTTTAAAAACTCTTCAGTGAATGATTTTTTAAGATTTCTTAAACTTTTTTTTAAATAGATAGACTTTCTGTTGTTCATTTATTAGTGTTATATGGTAAAAGCAACACTTTAAGATGGTACAACTATAGATACTAGACCAAAAATTTACTGAAAGATAGAATTCAAATATTTTGATTCTGTTCTTTTATTCACTAGCACCAATGTAACAGTGAAGATCATATCCCATATAAAGTTATGAAAATGCATTTTTTTTCTTTCTTGTTTATTTAAAGATTAAGTAGGAAGGAGATGATGCTAATATAAAGCAAAGAACATTTTCTCTTTAGGGTTTTTATGATGACATAATTATTAGTGGAAATAAATGTACTCTTATATTGTCAATATTTGTTTACATACTATACATTTACTTATGTTTGGCAGTAGGATGAAGTTTAGAAGGAAATTAAACAGGGCTTTTTAACCAGGGGATTCTTTCTCTTTATTGACATATACATTAGGGCTACCTTCTCAAAAGTTTGGGATGTATGCCATAATGTTAGAGTTACAAAAAGATTATCAAGTATAAAAGGATGATAATATCTACAGAGGCCAAATGTGGAGAAAAAGGGACTCTTATACAGTATTTGTGGAAACAAAAGACTCTTTTTAAAGCAATYTGGCAATAGTTTAAAAAAAAAAGTAAATATGCTGGCTATGTATCTTAGAGGTAGAGTGCTTGCCTAGCATGTGGGAAGCTCTGGGTGTAATCTGTAGGATAGCAAAGAAACAAAGAAAAAAATAATAATTTGAACAAAGAAATCTTCTTCTTAGAATTTTTAAACATATTTTATTCTAATTTGTTATATATGACAACAGAATGCATTACAATTCATATTACACATATAGAGCACAATTTTTCATATCTCTGGTTGTATACAAAGTATATTCACACCATTCTTTTTTTTTTTTAAAGAGAGAGAGAGAGAGAGAGAGGAGAGAGAGAGAGAGAGAGAGAGAGAGAGAGAGAGAGAGAGAGAGATTTTTTTAATATTTATTTTTTAGTTTTTGGCGGACACAGCATCTTTGTTTGTATGTGGTGCTGAGGATCGAACCCGTGTTGCATGCATGCCAGGCGAGCGTGCTACCGCTTGAGCCACATCCCCAGCCCCACACTATTCTTGTCTTCATACATGTTTCCTAGAATATTTGTCCCAGAGAAATAAAAATGCATATAAGAATATATGCATTGTTAATTGCAACAATCATTTTTTTCTCAAAAAAGAAACAAACGCTATTAGGGGAGGATGGTAGAAAAATTGTGGAATAAGTATACTATGGAGATGCAGATACTACCAAGAATGAAACCTATTGCTGCTGATTTAGAGGAATTTCTAATGTACTAGTAAGTAAGGAAATATGAAAAGAAGCATGTGTAACATGATTTTGTTTTGTGTTTTGTGAAGCAAAGTAATTTCATATATATATATATATATATATATATATATATATATATATATATATAATATCTTTTATTTATTTTTATGTGGTGCTGAGGATTGAACCCAGTGCCTCACATGTGCAAGGCGGGCGTCTCTACCACTGAGCTACATCCCCAGCCCTTCATATGCTTTTAGTATGTATATTTACATATATATGTTTGTGTTTGATTTAATGAGCATTGAGAATGGTATGGAAGGAGATATAGTAGGTCATTAACTTGTTTGAGAGAAAAAGAGGAAAATAAAAATAGTCTGAATGTTTGTATATTAAGGTTTGAGCCAATTAAAAAGTAAGAACTTGTTAATTCAAAACTTGAAGCTCAAACAGGGCTTCTCAGCATAAACTGGTTTTATTAGCCATTCCTGATAAGGGTTTTTGTCAATTCTTTAGAAATTAGGAATTGAGGATGATAACTTTTAGCTTTATTTAAGGAAGTACTTGTAAACTATATAGTGTTCTTATTTATTTTTATTTTTTTAGTGTTAGGCATTGGGGCTGGGGTTGTGGCTCAGTTGTGGAGCGCTTGCCTAGCATATGTGGGTTTGATCCTTAGCACTGGGTTTGATCCTTAGCACCACATAAAAATAAATAAATAAATAAAATAAAGATATTGTGTCTATCTACAACTAAAAAAATATTTTTTTTTCAAAGAGAGAGAGAGAGAATTTTTTTTTTAATATTTATTTTTTAGTTCTCGGCGGATACAACATCTTTGTTGGTATGTGGTGCTGAGGATCGAACCCAGGCCGCCACATGCCATGCGAGCATGCTACTGCTTGAGCCACATCCCCAGCCCTAAAAAAATATTTTTAAAAAAGTGTTAGGCATTAAGGACAGATTAGCACTATAGTGAAACTTTATCCTTAAATCATTTAAGAAGGATTGAGAAATGATTGATAAGAAATTTAGTGTTATTATTAAATGCTCTGTTATATTCTATTACCAATCAGTATTTTTTTTATCTTTTTTTTTTTTTTTTTTTTTTAACTGTACTGAAATTTAGCCTAAGCGTACTTTACTACTGAGCTATATCCCCGAACTTTTTAATATTGAGATATGGTCTTGCTAGCCTCAACTTGTTTTCCTCCTGCCTCAGCCTACAGGGTTATTGGGATTATAGACATGCCCCACCGTGCCCAGCCCTAATCAATACATTTTAATTGCCTATATGTGCCATGCTATATACTGTGTAAAGGCCTACCTTTATGGAGATAAGATAGAGGAATTCAGTGATGATTAGGATAAGAAAGAGGAGTTCAGTGAAGAGAGGTCCTCATGTTGGAGGATTGAGGCTAAAAGGATAACAATAGATTGTGACAAATACAGTAAGAAAATAAACAGAATGATGAAAGGTTCTATTTTTCAACATTTTGCAAGAGGGTGGTCAGTAAGGCCCCTGAGGAAGTGAAGTTAGAGTTGAGAATTGAAAGGTTAAGTAAAGGTGGGGTGATGGAGAGACTTCCAGATGACTCACATGTGCACAGGCTTAGAAGTAGAAAAGCTTTTGGTATGTTTAACAAATAGAAAGGAGGCCAGAGAGCCAAAAGTATCGGTGAGTGAGGGGGCTGACTGGTTAGAGATTAAGTAGAAGGAGCCACATCAAGTAGGACCTTGTGAATAGGCCATGAAGAAGAGTTTGAATTTTTTTTTTTTTTTTCTAGGAGCAGCATGGAAACCACTGGAGGACTTTTGTCTTTCCTTTTGGAAGTAGAATGATTGAACTTGTAATTTAAATAGATCAAATAATATATAAACTGTTTCTTTTACATTTCTGTGCTTTCTTTTGGATGACTGATTTATGGAGTATGAGTCTATCCATTTAATTTCCTCCTAGCTACATAGTTTTCCTAGAATGTGTTAACTGGATGCAATTCTTTTCCTTCATGAGGCAGCAGAATGTAGCTGGAGCCTCCATGGACWTTGTAGTCTAACCTGGATTTGAATCCTCATTTGACTCCTTTTTTATAGTGTGGTTTGCCTTTGGAGTCTGTTTTCTTATCTGTCTTATAAGGGATACTACAACTAGCACAAAGGAATGTTACAAAGATTGAACAAAGTGTTATGTAATCTATGCCCAACACATGGGGAACCAAATAAAAGCTAGTTTTGTTGTCTATCTGTTTTGGTACCAGGAATTGAACCCAGAGGCACTCGCTGAGCCACATCCCCAGCCCTTTTTAATCTTTTGAAACAGGGTCTCACTAAGTTTCTTAGGGCCTCGCTAAATTGCTGAGGTTGGCTTTGAACTTTCAATTCTCCCGAGCTGCTGGAATTACAGGTATGCGCCACCTCACCCAGTCAAAACTAGTTTTTTGTCCTTTTTCTTCTTTTCCAAGTTGAGGTGAGGATTCCTCCTCCACCCCCCTGAGTAGCATCTGAGTCCCTTGTCTCCCCGCAGCTAATGTTGGACATAATAAAGCAACTAAGATGTTAATATGTGTTTATGATTTTGTACACATATTCAATTAATCACATTCTTGAGACATGCAGCCAAAGACCTTCACAAATCTCTGTATTCAGAAATATCAACACAAGAGGTAATTTCTCCCAATGCTGCAAGGTTTTGAGAAGAGATATAGCTATAGTCTAAAGCTGGAAGACTTGAGAGACTGTGGCAGGTGTTTGCAGAATTTTATTCTGAACCTGCAGTTGCCTAGTCAGGACCCAAAAAGGAATAGTCCAACCATAAGCTCTGAAATACCAAGACACAGACCTGAAAGACTTATGATTCATTCTTTATATATGTCACTTTTTCTTCTTTTTAATTACTATCTTCCTGTTCTGTCTAGCTCTTGCTTAGTAGTGTGGAAATGTCTGAAAGCATCTTCCCTTGAAATTCTTGCTATGGCCAGTATTAGGCTTCTAGAACTGGAAGAAACACATTTTTGGGCTTCACACATGTTAAGCAGGCAGTGTACCACAGAGCTACATTCTCAGTCTTTCTTTCCTATTTTCTAGAATAAGTCTAGGAATTATTCTTTCCCACCCCCACCCTAAAGCATGAACCAGAGAGATGCAGTTGTCTCATTAGCTAGATTTTGGTTTGAAATCTTACTCCTGGAACTGATGAGTAAGCCCCACTTGAATCACTTGTGTAAACCAAGAGTGGGGGAAGGAGACATATTTTAAAGGAAAATTAGCATGCAGTTACCCAGAAGGGGCAGGGAAATATGGGCAGGTTAAAAACAAGAAATGTGGAGGTACCACATAGAAGAGATTGGAAAACCTAGGATCCTGGATATGGCTCAGGGAAGGTGGAAGACAGAGATGAGAAGAGGCTTTACATCACCAAATCAATGTTGCTGTATTCAGTAGCTCTTTTTCTAGTACTGCTTTCATATTACCTGCAAAAATACTTTAACAACTACCCAAAATTAAGACCTCTAAAGAAGAAATGTTTCCCCACCCTTTCTTTCTTTAGGTACCTCTACTCTTCTTTCTACTAGTGGTCTTCCTCTCCTAAACCTCATTCTTGTCTGCTCCTTCCCTTCTTCTGGTCCCTGGCTCGATATTTTGTTGTTGTTGTTGTTGTAGATGGATACAATGCCTTTATTTTACTTATTTATTTTTATGTGGTGCTGAGGATTGAACCTAGTGCCTCACACAGCCACAGACCCCTGGCTCAATATTTTGAACAGCTCTGTTCAACATAGAGTGCTAAGTGATTGTCCTACTAGGAGCCACGTACAGTTTAAGGGGCTAGAGGTATGAAGTTGAATAAGACATCCTGGTTCTTAAAGGACTTATATTCTAGATTCATTTAAATTACATAATCATGCATCAATATTTGTTTTTTCTTCTGAAATGAGGTCTCACTGTGCTTTCCAGGCTGGTCTCAAACTCCTGGGCTCAAGTGATCCTCCTGCCTCAGCCTTCTGTGTAGCTAGGATTGTAGGCATGTACAACATCCAACTCACATCCAACTCATTACAATTAAAAAAAAAATGAGAACATTATGAAAAGGCTGAAGGCTTGAAGTTCTTTCTGAACTCTCCAAAATCCCAGCATTTCCCTACTATCTAAGAAGTAATTGCTATTTTTAGTTAGTTGTGTTTCTTTCTGATCTTCTTCTGTGCATTTACTTAGAAAATATAGGGTTTGTGGTTTTTAAGAACTTAAGTGATAATAGCTAATGCTTACTGGGTCATTGTTATGTATTAGACACTATATTAAGTGTTTTATACAAACATTGTATTTAGTCCTCAGAGCAATTCAATAAGGTAGATACTATTAGTATTCCCAATTTATTTATTTATTTATTTTCCAGTGCTAGGGATTGAACCCAGACCTCATGCATGCTAGGCAAGTATGTTACCACAGAGCTATACCCCTGGCCCAACAGTTTATTTTTTCTTTCTTCTTTCCTCTTTTTTTGTATTGGTAGTTTAAAATTTTGAGACGGTCTCATTAAGTTGCTGAGGATATGGTTAAATTGCTGAGGCTGGCTTTGAATTTGCAATCCTCCTGCATCAGTCTCCTGAGTAGCTGGGATTATAGGCCTGAGCCATTGTGCCTGTCTTATTTCTGTTTTTTTTTTTTTTTTTTGGGGGGGGGTGATGGGGATTTAACGCAGGGCCTCACACATGGTGCGCACTTGCTCTACCACTAAACTCAACCCCTAGCTATAGTATTCCTTTATACATGAGGAAACTGCTCTTCAGAGTTAAGTAACTTGCTCAAGTTACATAGCAAATGGAGGAAACTTGCTTTATGTATTTTAAGGCACTGTTGTTTTGTTTGTCTTTGTTTTTTACTTTATATTATTTGAAGATACAGGTAGGTGTTAGTATATACAGAATCATCCCAATTTTTTCTTAGCTTTAAAAAAAACTTTTACTATGGAAGCCAGGCGGGTGGTGTACGCCTGTAATCCCAGCTGTTTGGGAGGCTGAGACATGAGGACTGTGAGTTCAAAGCCAGCTTCAGCAACGGCAAGGTGCTAAGCAACTCAGTGAGACCTTGTCTCTAAATAAAATACAAAATAGGGCTGGGGATGTGGCTCAGTGGTTGAATGCCTTTGAGTTCAGTCCCCAGTAGCCACCCTTACCCCGCAGAAATATACAACTTTTACTATGGAAAATGTTATATACAAATTTATAGGAAATAGTATAATGAATCACCATTTATTGTCACTAAGCTTCACCAATTATCATGGCTAATCTTGCTCCCTTTATATTGCAGCCCCACTGACTTATTTTGAAGCAGTTCCCAGACATTACATTCTTGCATCTATAAATATTTAAGTATGTATCTTTAAAGAAAGGACTCTGAAAAACCAAACCAATACTGTTAGCATACCTAGAAAAATAAGTTTGTAGCCAGCCTCAGTGACTTAGCAAGGCCCTAAGCAACTTGGATAGACCGTGTCTCAAAAAAAAAAAAAAAAAAATAGGGCTGGGGATGTGGCTCAGTGGTTATGCACCCCTGGGTTTAATCCCTGGTACCCAAAACTGGGTACCGGCCAGGTGTATACACAGCATTTGGTTGTTCTCTTACATCTTTTAATACTTTGCATTCTCTACCAGGATAGAGGTCCTTCTTTCTCTGTGGCAAAAATATTGGTATTTAATCAAGGCTTACCAACATTAAGGTATTCTGTTCCCCTAGGAGCTGTACCTTGATTGTCAAAAGAGACACAGTTTGCCCAGGTTTATAAATTTATGTGTTCCTTATTTGTTTCCATGGTTACTTAGACCAAGAGATTGAAGTATTTATTTAGAGAACAATATAAATTAATTATTCAATTTAATCTGCCCTGGGAAGCATTCTTGTCTCAGTCACTGGGTTCTCCTGGCTGATTATTTTATTTCCAAGGTTTTTGACCATTTTGAGGGAAAAATTGTTTTGGTAGCCCTACTTTATTATGGTAGCTTCAGTTGATTTCAGTGCTTAAAAGTGTTCTTGTTCCTCTTTACTTTGTTAGGAGTTGCATTGTCCAGTAACTGGTGATAGAACTTGCTATAATGGAATTTTTTTTTTATAAGAGAGGAGAGAGAGAGAGAGAGAGAGAGAGAGAGAGAGAGAGAGAGAGATTTTAATATTTATTTTTTTAGTTTTTGGCCGATATAATATCTTTGTATGTGGTGCTGAGGATCGAACCTGGGCCACATGCATGCCAGGCAAGCACACTACCGTTTGAGCCACATCCCCAGCCCATTAATGGAAATTTTATAATAATAAAAGTAAATATATATTTTTATTTTTAATTTTTAGAAAAGTTTTCACTTATTTTTGAAAATAGATATGTTAAAGTAAAAAGAAAAATAAGCATGTAACATTTTCTGGAAGCATTTTGAGTAAGAAAGTTAAGGTTCTGAAGAATTTTCTTTGCAAAGTCAAATAGAAGTTTTTGTTTCTAGTGGATGTGAAATATGCAGCTGAAGTGCTAATTAAAACTAGATATAGGGCTGGGGTTGTGGCTCAGCAGTAGAGCGCTCGCCTAGCACGTGTGAGGCCCTGGGTTCGATCCTCAGTACCGCATAAAAATAAATAAATAAATAAAGGTATTGTTTCCAACTATAACTAAAAAATAAATATTAAAAAAAAAATTCTTAAAAAAACAACAAAACCCCTAGATATATAAAACTGCTTTTCCCTAATGTATGTGTAATTGATTTTGATAACATGGCAATATTTTTATATTACTAATTCAAATTTGTTTTTAAAAATTAATATGGCTTAATGAAGTTAAAATTAAGTCAGTGTGGCCATATGTGTTTAAAATTATTTGTCTCTTTAAAATATTTATAATAGACTACACTTTCAT